AGCCAGTTTCAATATTCAAAATTTAATGTTTTAAAACTGAAAATGCAAAAGACTACACTGATGTTCACCATATTTGCTCTGTGAATCAACTGTATGCAAAGTAAAGATTTAAATGAGTAGCAGTATGTCAAATCTAACATTGCTAAACATATCCAAGTCATTTACTTACTTGAGTTCTTGTGAGGATTCAGCTCTGATATGAGGTGTTTCCACTGATTGTTCAAACACTGCACCTTCTGGACCTGCAAGAGAAATATTGGGTAAATCATAACCACAAATCCAGTCAGGAAAAATGAATGATTAATTGATTGATTGATTTATTATTTGTCATGTGTACCAAAATGCAGTGAAAAGCTTTGTTCACAAGTGGTACAGGCATATCATAGTAAGCAAAGGATGTATAGATCAAAAGGACTTTGAGACAAGAAAAATTGCACACTCATTAAATTGCATTGGGCGTGCGCCAGGTGAGATCACATTAGTGATATCAGCTTTATTTGAGGCTAGAGAGTCCATTCAACAGTCTGATAACAGCCAGAAAGAAGCTGTTCTTGAACCTGCTCATGCGTGTATTCAGGCTTCTGTATCTTCTGCCTGACAGAAGAGGTTGTAAGAGCTTATTACCAGGGTGCGATGGGTCTTTGATGATGTTGGCTGCCTTTCCATGGCAGAGAGCCATGTAAATGTAATCCCTCATGGTCCTGGGCAGACCATACCAGGCTGTTATGCACCTGGACAGTATGCTTTCAATGGTGCATCTGTAGAAGTTGGTGAGAGACATTATAATCATGCCAAATTTCCTGAGACGCCTCAGGAAGAAGAAGCGTTGTTGTGCCTTTTTGACTGTTGCATCTACATGGGAAGTCCAGGACAGGTTATCGTCACTCCGAGGAACTTGATGCTCTTCACCCTCTCAACCTCAGTTCCATTGATATAGACGGGGGCGAGTTCTCCTCCTTTCTTTCTGAAGTCAGTGATCAGTTCTTTAATTTTGCTGACGTTGAGAGACAGATTGCTTTCATGTAAGATTGAAGTAGACATGGGAACTATTCTTGAATAAAATCAATGACTGGAACTATACCATGCAAGTTGTTGGATCATATATGAATTAGCAAGATCTATTTATAATGACTCTTGGGGATAGATTTATAAAATTGTCAGAATCTGGATTGGACATGGGCAGACAGGCAACATGGTGCCACAGGTCATCATGCTGATTCACTACCACAGAACATAGAACAATAGAACAGTACAGCACAGAAACAGGCCCTTCAACTCACCATGTCTGTGCCAACCAGGATGCTATTCCAAACTAATCTCATCTGCCTGTACATGGTTCATATCCCTCTTTCATGTGTCTGTTTAAATGCCTGTTAAATTTAGCAATTGTATCTGTTTCTACCACTACCCCTGGCAGTGTGTACCAGGTGCCTACCACCCTCTGTGCAAAAAATAAATTCCTTGCACATCTCTTTTAAACTTGCCCCCTCTCACCTTAAACCTATTCCTTCTAGTATTTGAGATTTCCACCATGAGAAAGAGACTCAACTATCCACCCTATCTGTGCCTCTCATTCTTTTGTTTACTGTTATCAGGTCATTCGTCAACCTCTGACGCTGTATCAAGAACAATCTAAGTTTATCCAACCTAGCTAATCTATATATAATGTAACATAACCTATATAGCAAATAAACTCCAATCCAGGCAAAATCCTGGTAAATCTCTTTTTGCACCCTCTCCAAAGCCTCCATATCCTTCCTACGGTGCGGTGACCAGAACTGTAACAATAGTCTAAATGTAGACTGACCAAAGTTTTATACAGCTACACCATGACTTGCTAACTTTTATACTCATTGTCCCAAGTGAAAAAGGCAAGCATAATCCTGACCCAGAACCATTTTGAATCAAGGTGGCTGAGGGTTTGATTTGCTGCCTGCCAGGAAGAGGTAGGTGCCCAATGAGGCTGATTATTTTAAATTAAAAAGTCTATTAATGTTCTGGCTCCGTGTTGGCATATATCACGGCTAAGGGTGAAGGAGGGAAGAAGGAAAGGAGGGGGTTGGGGAAGGGAACAACCTGTTGGCAATCTGAACTTTCTAAATTGTCGAAATTAAGGGTTGTAATTATGACCTCAAAAAGGGAGTCAATAGATATCATTACTGCTCCGATATCATTGATGTTGTGGCCACCTCTTTCATTACATTGCCTGCTGGTGACCAGAATGTCTGCCTGTTTCAGTTGATTGGTCTTATTTAACATGCAAGTTGTAACTTTATTACATACATCGTTCCACTGTCAAAAAGTTAAAATATATCTTTATTGTGGCAATTCTTGACCATACATTCAAGGCTGCAAGCAGCCCTAATGGTGTTGGAACCTGGCAATTGTAGTCTCTTAGATACATTACTCTTTTGAACTAGAAATCTTGCTATACACTCACAACAATGGCCATGATTCCAACTTAACTGCAGGGATTGCTGGTGCCTGAATTTTCCCTGAAAACTCTGCTACTGAGACAATAAAGTTAAAATTATACAGATTCGTAGAGTCATTCAGCATTGAAACAGGCCCTTCAGCCCACCATATCTATGCCAACCAAAAAAAACAAACCCAGCCAGTGAAGTCTCTCCTCATTACTGAGACCTTTCATTCTAGGCAACATTCTGGTGAATCTCTTCTGCATTCTCTCTCATGCAATTACATCCTTCTGATAGTGCGGCAACCAGAAATGCACACAGTGTGACATCTGTGGCCTAACCAATGTTTTATAAAGTTGTAATACGACATCATTGCTCCTATATTCTACACCTTGGCTGATGAAAGCAAGCGTTCCATATAACTTCTCCACCACCCCGTCTATCTGTGCTGACACCTTCAGGGATCTATGGAGTCTTTGTTCCTCAGTTCTCCCTAGGGATCTATCTTTCATTGTGTACATCCTCCTCTTATTATTCCCAAAATGCATCACCTTGCACTTCTCAGGATTAAATTCCATCTGCCATAGAAGAAGAGGAGGAAGAATGTGAAAACCTCAACAGCCCCTTCCTGTTCAAGTTACTATTTCCCCTCTTAAGTGCCCAGCACATTGCATTCTTTGCCACAATGCATAAATAAAAACAAATGTAAGGTGAACAAGACAAGCTAAAATTTATAAATTGAATTGTCATATTACAAATATAAACTGGTCACTCTGTGCACTCCCTATGAATAAAGATGAAGAAAATCATTTTTGGCCAGAATGTCGCATCTGGGTGGGGAATTTAGATGGCAAGCCCTCCCAAAGTGGTCAACAAACATTATAAAAATGATAAGTGTTGATAGAATTAACTATGAAACCATTATTATGATAATTGTATAGTCATAGTGAAGCATTACATTCAATAATGAAACCAACAACACATTTGGTCACGATTATTTTCAATAACAACAAATTCACTTTTTCTCTCTTCACATATGCTGCAAACCTGCTGAGTATTTCCAATCATTTTACGTTTATATTGCACATTTTGTTTTCTTTTCTTGCCAATATGAATGCTGCTTTACTGTGACCTGATGTTGCAAGAACCACCAAGACAAAAACAGTAAAGAAAAAGAAAATGTGGGGAGACAAAAGGCATTTCACTTATGGGTAGTACAGTGTTCTGCATCCTCTTTCTCTCTCTCATACCTAGAGCTGAAATTTAATAACCTTGAGGTGCATTTCAAAAGGTGTTAACAAACCTATAATCTGTTCTGCATACTCTATGGAACATTCTGCTAATTTTCAATTTTTTACAAACACAAAACCTTAACCTAAAACTGCACACCCTTCACTTTTTATTATATTCAACATCCTTCTGCTAAAAATTGTAACCTCAGTTGCACCTCCAGCCGCAACAGAAGATGCATTTTCAACACTAAGTGCATGAACAACCAAACACTGATTGCCACCTCAAAACATTAAACCAAGATTGCTTGTGGAGTTCTTCAGTCAAACGTACCCTGGGATTCATTGCAAGTATCAATATTAATGCTTCAATATTTCAATTGTAGATAACAAGGTGTAGAGCTGGATGAACACAGCAGGCCAAACAACATCAGAGGAGCAGGAAAGCTGACGTTTTGGGCCTAGAGTTCCTACAATCGGTGAAATTGTAGAACAAGTTTAAACTTGGTCTATTGCTGCATTTTGACTTGAAGATAGGCAGTGGAAGTCAGGAAGTTTCTCTGCTTGGCATGACCACTTAGAGAAATGCCCACAGAGGTGAGGTTTTCTGCAGTTTTAAATAAAGGATTTGTGTTATTTAAAAAAAAATGAAAATTAGCATCATGTTCCCTTGCATATGCTGAAAGTGTGACCAGTTGATATACTTCAGAAAATATTGCAAATTAACACCATCTTCATCTCCTACAAAATAAAGAAAATATCCTAAAATGGAATTTCCAGAGAAATGTAAACCATGCAGCAAGGAAATAGTTCAAGAAGTTGAAATTAAAGAGTAAAAGATGAGGTGAGGTCTAAGAGATTCAAAACAGATCTGAGCCATCAACTTGAACATAAAACAGTTTGAAGTGGAATTTAAACACAACACAAGGGCAGGTATTTTTAATGCTGGCAGACAGGTTGCCATCACTGAGGTCTATGACAGTCAGACCAGCGAATATAAATGACAAGTCCAGGAGACATAGGTTTTCAGATACTTGGATAAATTATCATGAAGCTCAGTCACAAAGGACAAAGTGTCCCATGAGGGAGGGAGTTCCACGACTTTGACACAGCAAGACTGAAGGACCAGTGATACATTTCGAGGTCAGGGTGGTGAGTGGCTTGTAGATGGTTGTGTATCTCTTGTCCTTCTCCTAGATGGAAGTGGCCATGGGTTTGGAAGGTGCTGTCAAAGAGCTTTAGTGAATTGTGTACTTTGTAGATGGTACACACTGCTGCTACCAAGCATCAAAGGTGGAGGGAGTGGAAGTTTGTGGATATGGTGCTAGTCAAGCAGGCTGCTCTGTTTTGGATAGTGTCAAGCTTCTTGAGTGTTGTTGGAGCTGCATTCATCAAGGTAAGCGGGAGTATTTCATCACACTCCTGATTTGTACCTTATAGATAGAGGACAGGCTTTGTAGAGTCAGGAGCTGAGCAGCAAAATTCATAGTTCCTAATCTGCTCTTGTAGCCACAATACTTATATGATAAGTCCAGTTCAGTTTCTAATCAATGGTAATGCCCAAGCTATTGATGGCATGGTGGCACAGTGGTTTAG